AAGTAGAGGGAGATGAGGGCAGGGCCAGGACCAGAAGCGGTGCTCCTGGAGCCCAAGAAAGGGACTGAGTTTCTCTGGGTGAGAAGGATCAGGAAGCAGTATTGGTTCCCCAGGTGTCTGGGGCCCCAAGACTAGGAATGGTGCAGGGCCCAAACTAGGAATATAGAACGGCGGGAGGGATGGAAGGGTGAATGTGGGTTAGGGAGTCCCGGCGCGGAGAGCTGCGCTATAGACTTACCCCAAGAGGCCTTATATGATTATAATTTTGCATGTCCACCATCAAAAAAAATTGGATAACAAAATATAGTAAAAAAACAAAAACAAAAACAAAAACAAAAAAAAACACAAGTAACACAGTCACCGGAAATCCTACCATTCAGGTGACACTACTGGCACTTTATCTTCCAGGTGTTTCTGTGTATACAGACACACAGAGATGTGTAATATTACACAGATGAAATCACTCACACATGCTGTGAAGAATAATATTAGAAAGAGTCTGTGCCATTTAGAAAGAAAAATGTTTCTATAACCCCTTCCCATTAAAATATTTTAATTATTTTTTAATTATTAATGAGAGAGAGAGAGAGAGGGAGAGAGGTGCAGATACACATATGCCACAATGCAGATGTGGAGGTCAGAGGACAACTTTGTGGAATCAGTTCTCTTCTTCTACCTTTACATGGGTTGCTGCCAAGTATGATGACCTGAGTTCAATCTCTAAGACCCACATGGTAGAAGACAACTGATTGCCACAAGCTGTCCTCTGATCTCAATATGCACACTGTGGTATGCATGCATGCCCCCAACATATACAATTCTTAAAATAAATTATTTTTTTAAAAAAAGCAGATACAATTCTGTTGAAGTCCAGTTTATCAGCTTTTTCTTTTACAGGCTGTGCCTTTCATGTCATATGTAAGAAACATCTGTCTAGTCCAAGACCATAAAGATACTTTAGGGTTTACATTAAGGCATGTATATATTTTGTTGTTTAAGGATTTCATACATGAGTACTGGATTTTCACCATTTCTAACCCCCTGTACCACCCCTTCCAACAAATTTCCCAACATTCCTCTAAATCACTGTCAATTACATGAGTTCTTCTATATATATATATATATATATATATTCCATTTGAATTAGTTTATTTGTTTTTTGTTTCCTTTTGAGACAGTCTCCTTGTAGCCCCAGCTGGCCAGAACTCGATATGGAGACCTGACTGGCCTCAATCTCACGGAGTGCTGGGATTAAAGGCTTGTGTCACCATGCCCAGCGTTTTGAGTTATTTTTTCTATGTAGTTGATGCCGAAAAATACATTTGGATAAACCTGAGTGTTAATATGTAAATATGAAATTATTTGGTAGCAAAATTAAAGGTAGTTTTTCTTGTTTCCTTTTTTTATAATGTTGTTACAACAGTTGATAAATGTAACATTATTCAGAGCAAATGCAGACAGAGTGCTATAGGTAATCCAGTTGACTATATGGAAACTTGGTGATAATGAATTGTTGGAAGGCAGTTCTTCAGGAGCTTCCCCCATTTCTAACCGTACTGTGAATACTAAACTCCCTTTGTTCTGGGCTGTCTTTAAGGGTATCTGTACCAAGAACAGCCTTGGGAGGTAAAAAGTTGAACTTCCCTATAGGGAATAGGGCAAGTTTGTTTGCTTTCCAGTACAATAAAATGACATTTTCTCTTGTGCAGAGGTTAAGCAAGTTTGCATATAGTCTATCATAAAAGATGAGGGTGTAGGGGGATGTGGTTTGAATAAGAAATGTCCTCCATAGAGTCACATATTTGAACACTTGGTCCCAAGTTCATGGGGTTGTATGCAGAGGTTTAGGAGCTGTGACCTTGCTGGAGGAAGTATGTCTCTGGGGGCAGGCTTTGAAAGTTCATACCCTTCTGTCATTTCCTGTTTGGTCTCTGCTTCCTATGGGTGCTTGAAGTTGTGAGATCTCAGCTTTCTGGTTTGGCCACCTGGTGCCATGCTTCCCCGGCCATTATGGACTCTTTCCCCTCTGAAACCATAAGCCAAATAAGCTCTTCTTTCTGTAAGTTGCCTTGATCATGGTGTTTTATCACAGCAACAAAAAAGTAACTAATAAAGGGGGATATACTAAATTGTGGATTCCTCAGCCATCATGCAAACCCGCTGAGCACACAGTATAACTATGTATTACTGATGTGGGACTTAGCAGCAAGGGGCACTCACATGGTTAGTATATTGTGTATCCTCCTTTCTGACTAAGATACCTTGCAGCCACCACTAAGCCATGTTGTTAATTTGCAAATAGAGTAAAATCTCAGATCTTTCCCAGTTCATGACACTTTTCTCTACTCTATTAGGCCTTAATTGAGAACCCTGTCATTGTATTATCTGAGTTGGTCTACTGAGTTAGGGATCAATACTACCAATGAGACTCTTGCTTTCCATGGTAACAACAGACAGTCTTCTGTGGTCATGGAGCTTACATAACCCTACCAGGAACTTCCATGCCACTCTGCATATTAAATTGAGATTAGCTCAGAGAAAAGCACTGTTATTTACTGTTTTGTGGTAGCTTTATATTTCTGCATAACTCTTTTCTTACTATTTGTTGTCTCATTGTTGTTGTAGTGTGGTGGTACTGGGAATTGAACCTGGGATCTCATGCAAGCTAGGCAAGCATTCTTCTACTGAGCTATATCCCCACCCCACTTCAAATAGATGTTAGCATTTTAGGCCTCAAGGATATACCTTCTTTTTAGTTTTTATTAAAAAATTTTATTTATTTTTTCATATTAGTGCTTTGCCTGCATGTAAGTGCACTCATGCATGAAATGCCCACAGAAGCCAGAAAAAGGCATCAGATCCCCTGGAACTGGAGTTACCAATGGTTGTTAGCTGCCACATGGGTGCTGGGAACCAAACCCAAGTCCCTCTGGAAGAGCAGTCAGTACTCTTAGCCACTGAGTCATCTTTCTAGCCCCTCTACCTTCTTTCTAAAGCTGTGAACTTTTCTCGACATAATTTATTCAATAAGATTAATATCATTTTAATATAAATTCAGAAACAGAAAAGTATAGAATTAGGTCCAAAAAACTACTTTCTATACATACCTTAGCCAGATCATTATGAGGCTCAACATCCAGCACTTTTTTTAAGTCTTCTCTAGCTTCCTGGAGCTTGTTTTGATGTTTGTAGGTAGTGGCACGACGCAGAAGAGCTGAAAAGTTACCAAAATAAATTGTACCTTTAACATATGACATTATGGCTATGACATATTTGCAAGTGGAAAAATATAAGCAGCACATGTCACAAGTATGCAAAGGTCGACTACCCTAGCTTCATGTTGCTGACTGCATAGAAAATGGCCCTACTTTGAACAGAAAAGGCTACATCAGGCATCGATCTCTTTTTTTGTTTTGATTTGTTTTGTTTTGAGAGTTTCATATATGCACATAATGTGTTTGATCACATCCACTCCTCAATCCCAACCGTACCCCCTTTCTCCCTTCCAACTTCATGTTTCTCCCCCCCCCCCTACTGAGTGCTACCTGTATGTGCATGCCTATGGGACCATCTACCAGAGCACAGGTAGCCTCTCAGGGGCCACATCCTTGAAGAAAACTGACTCTTCCTCCCCCAGCAGCTTCGGTATCCTCTTAGCAACCTGGCCTTCTAGCAACCCTGGACCTTGCCAGGTCCTCCATGGGCTGAGATGTTATATCTCACCCTTTTCCATGCACCATGCCTGCTACAGCATTGAGAAGCTTTTCACTGAACAATAATGCTTGGCTTCTTTTAATCATCACTGCTATTAGTTCTTCATTGTCTGGAAACTTAGAAAATTCCTTATTGGAATTCAGTATACCACTGACCAGTAAGGGACATGGCACATTAGTGAAATCTCTTTAGACAAAACATAAGGGTGTTGTTTTTGTTTGGGTTTGGGGGTTTGGTTTGGTTTGGCTTTTACAGATAAGGTCTCATGTAGCCCAGGCTGGTCTTGATTCACTATATAGCCAAGGACGACCTTTGAACTCCTGGTCCTCCTGCTTCTGCTTCCCAAGTATTGGGATTACATCTATCTAGCTCTTTCTAAAATAAGAGTTGGGTGTGGTGGTGGTGACACAGGCCAATAATCCCAGTGCTTAGGAGGCTGAGGCAGGAGGATTGAAAATTTGGGTCAGTTACATAGAGAGAGCCTGCCTCAGAAATAAAATAAGAAAGTAAAAGTAAACTAAACTAAAATGATCCAAAAGGTAACTTAGCACATGGACCTCTGAGTGTCCTGATGAGTAAGTAGCTAGGTTCAGAAATTGAGCATCTTGGTAATTTGCATCAGATTTTTTGGTAGGTTTTAACTTATAGTTTTATATTACTTAGTACCACAATAAATCCCTTTCTAGTCCTATCATTATCATTATATAATGAAAGAACTTTGTATAGTAAATTTTAAGAAAAATATCAGGTTTGATAATTATGAAAAGTGAGAAATGTATATCAGACATATTTTAATGATATTGGAAAGCACAATAATAAATTTAAGTCAGGTGTGGTGACACATATGTAATCCCAGCATGCAGGTGGCAGAGGCAAGTGGATCACTAAGGGTTTGAGGCCAGCCTGGTCAACATAGTGAGTTCCAGATCAGCCAAGGCTTCACAATGAGACCTGGTCTCAAAACAACAGCATCAAAAAACAAAACAAAAACCCCCACAACAATAAAATTAACTAACTAACCAAATTAAGTTTAAGCAATTTGATTTTAGTCTTAGAATGCATCATGAAAACCTAAAGGATAAATTATTTTGTAATAAATTTAATCAAATTTGATGACTATATATTGCCATTACTATTCAGACTTCCAAAGAAAATTCCTTTGAAGAAACAGTCATGATAAAACAATTATTTTTTTAAGATTTATTTATTTACTTGTTTATTTATTGATGACTCAGTGGTTAAGAGCATTGGCAGTTCTTGCAGAAGACCTGGATTTGAATTCCAGCACCCACATGGTGGCTAACAATCATTCCTAACTCCAGTTCCAGGGGATCTGATGCCCTCTTTTTTCCTCTGCAGGCATTGCACGACATGGGTGCACTTGCATACATGCATGCAATGCATGCATACACACATAAAAATAAAGCAAAACTTTTTTAAAATATTTATTTTTATCATATGTATGAATGTTTTAACTGCATATATGCAAGTGCACCACATGTGTGCAATGCCCAGAGGCCAGAAGAGGGCATTGGATCTCCCACAACTAGAGCTACAGGTGGCTGTGAGCTGCCACATCCGTGCTGGGAATGAAACCTGGGTCCTCTGCAAGAGCAGCCAGTGCTATGAACCACTGAACTATCTCTCTAGCCCCAGAACAATTTTTTTGGTGGTCTTTTATTTTGAAATAATTTGAGTTACTAGAAAGTTGCACATATAGTATCAATTTCCCTTATATCTCTACACAGCTTCTGCCAATGCAGACATTTTAATCAAGCAAGCTACCTTAGTTCAAATAATAAAGGACTTAAATGCCAAGTCAAATTTAAAAAATGAAAAGTAATGTTATGAAGGTAGTAATACACATAAAAGAAATTTGAGTTTGTATGAATTATTTGAATGTAAATGTATTAAGTATCACAATGGTCTACTGGATTCTGATATGAGACTGTTCAATGTGTACTTACCCTTTATGTTTCCAGGTTCGAGTTCCAAGACCTTTTCACAATCATGAAAAGCACTGCTCCAGTTCTGTAATTTGATTTCTGCTTGAGCTCGGTTGTTATAGGCAGATACAGTGGGAAGGACTGATATGCTCCTATGAAAGAAATACTTATTGACAACAAGCAGACCTAAGACAAATGTAAGACAGAGAAACCCAGCTAAAGCTGTGTTGTGGTTTGAGCATGAAATGTCCCCACAGGTTGGTGGCACTATTTTGGGAGGTTCTAGAAACTTCAGGAGGTTGGGCCCAGCTGAAGGAAGCAGATCACTGGGAGCATGTCCTTAAGGCTGTATCTTGTCCTGGGTTTCTCTCCTTCCTGTGCCCCACCCATGTCCCCCCTAACTTCTGGTCCACCAAGAGGTAAACAGCTTCCTCTGCACACACTCCTGCCACCATGATTGCCACCTCACTTCAGACCCAAGTTAGTGGAGTCAGCCATCCACCCAACCATAGCTTCAGTCCTCAGAAACAATAAGCCAAAATAAAGCCTCCCTCATTCAAGTTGCTGTTCTCAAACATTTTGGTCACAACTACTCAAACATAACTGATAAAGGGGCTGGAGAGATGGCTTAGTGGTTAAGAGAACTGGCTGTTCTTACATAGGACCCAAGTTTGATTCCCAGCACCCACATGGCAGCTAACAACCATCTGTAACTCCAGTTCCAGGGGATTTGATGCCCTCTTCTGACCTCCACAGGCATTGCACAACATGGGTATACTTACTTACATGCAGGCAAAACACTCATACACATAAGATAAAAATAATAAGTTAAATTTATATGCTGAAGTCCTAAGCCTACAGCATCTCAGCATATGAATATATCTGGATATATGGATTTAAAAAGGTAATTAAGCTAAGGATATAGCTCAGAGTGCTTGCCTTCTTGAGCATGTGGGTTTGATTCCAGCACCACTGCCTTAATCGCTTCTTTAGTTGCTGTGATAAAGTACTCTGAAAAAAGCAACTTTAGAGAGAAAGGTTTATTTTGGCTCAAAGCTCAAGGTATAGTCCATCATAGTGGGAAGTCATCACATCCACAGGAAGTCTAGGATTCTGGGCATGGAATGGCACCACCCACATTGGGTGGATCTTCCAACCTCAAAACAATCAGGAGACTCGCCCCCCTGGCATGCCCAAAGGTCTATCTCCAGGTGATTCTAGATTTTGTCAAGTTGACAATTAACACTAATCATCACAACCACAAAAAAAGATGTACTTAATATGAGGTCATTAGTGTGTGCCCTAATCTAATATAACTGATACCCATAGATACCTGTGGGCACACCATGTGAGCAAATAGGGAGAAGACAGTCATCTGTAAGCCTACGACAGAGCCCTAGAGAAATCAATCCTGCCTGCATCTTGAGCTCAGATTTCTAGCCTTCAGAAGTATGATATAAATACCTTGTTTAGGTCACTAGGTCTGTGGTATCTTGTGATGGCAGACCTAGCAAAATAACATAACCTACATCATTGAAAATAACAATGGAAGATCTACTGTGTTGGGTAATTGAATCATATTCAAGTAGAATATCCCAGGAAAAAACACTTGAGCTCCCTGTTTGGAGTCTGGTGGGTGCTGAGCATGACCAGTGGCCCTGTGTGTCCCCCTTCTTCAGAGGCTTTGCATTCTGTACCAGCTTCACTAACAGCAGGCTAACTTTTTGGGATTGACTTTTGTTTGGGGAGTTATGTGGCCAGGCTAGTATTTTGAAGTGTCCCGGTGGAGTTATAGATATTATTTATGTAATGAGTGCCTTTAAAAAAATAAAAACAACGCCCTTTCAGAAATTTCTATTTTGTAACTTCATGATTAACCTGGTGATAAAAGCAGTTATTAAAAGTCTACGTTTTCCACTGAGCATGGTGGCGCATACCTGTAGTCCTAGCCCTTGGGAGGCAGAGGCAGGCTGATCTCTGTGAGTTCAAGGCCAGCCTGGTCTAGTGAGTTCCAGGCCAGCTGGGGCTACAGGGAGACCCTGTTTCAAAAAAGACCAAAAAGTTAAAATTAAAATATTAAAAAAGTCTACCTTTTCCAAATAAAGGAAAGAACAACATACAATTCTATGTATGAAATCTATATGTAGACAGATCCTTAACTATTCAATAAATGGGCTTAAAGTTATGTCAAGCTTTAGAGGTGACAGCAATTTAAGTACCCATAAATCTCCTAAAATAAAAAACATGTTTTAACTCCATGAGAACAATTTCTTAGTACAAAATAAAATGGAGTAATCAACTGCAATTAATATCTTTTACTCAGTTGTTACTATGTTAACAAAAAAATTAGTTTATAATCTAAAAGTAAATTTATTTCTAAGAAAAAAATCATAAAGTAATTTAATAAAAGAAATTTAACTGAAGGAAACAGAAGAGAACATCCAGTAAGATGAGGAAAACTGGCAAAAGAAAGAAAGTTTTGCTAGATTAAAGACATTAGTACAAAATAATTAATGAAAAGAACTTAAAATCTACCTGCGTGTTGCTTTAAAAGTTTGGAGTGCTGTGAAATAATTTGGAGTGCTGTGAAATAATGACTATCAGATACAAGAAGATAATGGTATCCATGGATCAAATACAGAATACAAAATACAGAAGAGAAACAGAAGATAAAATGGAAATTTCAGAAACAGGATCGATTTATTAAGATCACTAAAGGTGCATACAGGGTGCACGGCTTGATAGAAACCAGATATGGAAAATGCAAGTAAGGGTAACAAAAGTACCAAGCACTAAGCACTTCCTCCTGCAGGCCATGAGCACCGTATACACATAGCTCACACCATCCTCATTAACCACCCATGGGGTCAGTATTACTGCTGTGCTCACTGGAGATGAGAAAGTAGATGCGACATGCCCATGGCCACAGCTAGTAAATAACAGAGCCAAGAGTCATATGCCTATAAAGTCCCTTATTCTGTCTTCAGTAACTGGCTTACTTAGTCCTCATAGCAGCCCTGAAGGTGATACTCTTAGAGCCTTAGGAAACCAAGGCAAGAGAGGTAAGGAATCTACCCAAGGTCCAGAAAGTAGCAGTCCTAAGTTTCTTCAACCACCATACCATACTGCTTTAATTCTTCACCTACTTGACTCCTCAATAGAAGAAAGTGAGGAAAATATCAAAGACAAGAGAATCTTCACTAGTGTTAATCTACCAGAGACAAAACGACCAGGTGTGGTGGTGGGTACCTATAATCCCAACACTTACAAAGGTAGAAACAGGGTGATTCATGTTCAAAGTTCAAGGCTAGTCTGGGCCATAGGAGAGAGAGAGAAGGGGGAGGGAGGGGGGAGGAGGGAGGGAGGGAATATGAATGCATTCAATGGCAGAGGTGATATCCTTCTGAACATAGGAGACACACTGAATGAACAACCCCCCCCCAAGTTTCCTTTATACCTGTGTTCACCTAAACAGAGATAGCTTCTTTAGAGAGACAACACCCAGCATCAGAAAAGGAAAATCTAGGCTAGGCATATCAGCCTGTAATCAGAGCATTCAGGAGGTGGAGGGAAGAGGACCAGGAATTCAACATCATTCTTAGTTACACAGTAAGTTCAAGGTTAGCCTGAGCTATATGAGACTTTTAGAAAGAAAGAAAGAAAGAAAGAAAGAAAGGGAAGGAAGGAAGGAAGGAAGGAAGGAAGGAAGGAAGGAAGGAAAGGAAGGAGAAGGAAGGAAAGAAAGAAAGAGAGAGGGAGGGAGGGAGGGAGGGAAGGAGGGAGGAGGGGAGGCTTCCTTTCAAAGGTAGAAGGAAGGCTGTACTGAGCTGAATTTCAGAGTGGCGTTGGTGATTCTATGAGCACAGTTACAGCAGCATTTTGGGAACTTCACCTACTTTGCACAAACTTCAGAAGTTCACATGAGTATTTACTGAACATCTGCTACGAGCCGACCACTTCAATGGGCACTGAGGATACAGTGGTACAAAACAACTGAGCAAGTGGACTCTGCTCTTGTGGAGTATCAAATCATACAAATCTCTGACAAGTCTACAAAGAACTCTAAGACTGTCATAAAAGCCTGTAAACTAGGATGTAAACATGGTATGCTATGATGTAGAGATTTAACATAGTCTGAGAGGTCAGGGAAGACTCTGCTAAAGAAGTTAAGGCCTGGGCTAAGTCCTAAAGGATAAGATAAAACTCAAAAGATACTAATGGTGGTGAAGCATCCACACAGAAGACTCAATATATGCAAAAGCCCTGTGGTAAAAAGATGCACTTAAGTGTCAGGGTGAAGCCCAGCAGTCTGACTGTAGAATCCAAGTTTTAACTTTTATGCTGTATAGATTTTCTGTCAGATTCCTTTCAGATGGTTTCTATTTTCTGTAAAATGGGAAAGCTAGGTCCTTGTCAAAGTTGGGAGTGGGGTAAGAGCATAAAGGCTTGAAAATAACATTGAAAGGCTAAGGATATAGTTCAGTCATGCTCAGCAACATAGCAAATTTGAGCCTGGGATACATGAGTATTATCTCAAGAAAATAATAGAGATGGAGACATGGCTCAGCAGTTCAGAGCACTGGCTACTCTGTCAGAGGACCTGGGTTCAGATCCTAGCACCCACATGGCAGCTGACAATGACCTGTAACTCAAGTCACAGGGGATCCAGCATCCCTTTCTGGCCTCCATAGGCACCTGCACATACACAGTGCACCTACATGCACTCAGACACACACACACATACACATAAAAATCTTTAAACAAATCTTTAAAAAATAAAAAAAATTTAAAGCACCAAAAAAACAAGACAATCACAAATTAATTTATGATAGGTCACAGGTATAATATCCTAAGTGATTCCAATGTATTTAGCTTATTTGTATGGTTTTAACAATTAAAACATCATTTAAAATATTTGTTTTATTTTTAATTATGTGTATGTATGTGCTTGTCTGTGGGTATGTGCATGTGTCTGAAGAGGGAATCAGATTCCCTGG